ATTTCGAGAATTAAGAATTATTTTGAGAATTAAGAATTATTTCGAGAATTAAAAATTTAGTTACCCTAATGAAGGGAATAATTTTCCTGCCCATTGAAGCAACCGAGCTTTTGGACTAAGTTCTTGAGGTCGTCCACGAAAGCGTAATAATTTTGGTCCATCACATGGACTTGAAAAAAAAAAAAAGTAAAAATGAGGTATTAATAAAATTATAAATATGTTAAAAGATGAATGATTTAAATTAATAGTCACAAGTATAAAATTGCTTGAACGACAAATTTATCTTAAAAATTTATTACATACCATTTTTTCATCCGTTCCCATTTAAGGATTTCATTCCAAGCTTCTTCATTTAAAAAATTATGTATATCTACCATAGTTTCAATACTTTCTTCTGGAGTATCCCATCCTTTACGAACCAATGCATTATAAAATTGTTGTGGAGAAGGATATACCCAATTATCAAAACTATGAGCTTTAGGAATAGAAGAAATAACTCTAGATGTTGGAAGTGGAATTTTTTGGCCAGGCATTTGATGCTGGCCAAGTGTTGGCATTTGATTATCTGGTGAAAGAGCATCACCAGAATGAACTATCGGATTAGTTGTTTCAATTGTATTATTTGAAGAATTAGGACATTTAGATTGAGAGGATGATTGATCGGACGTTTGAGAATTATTTTTATGCATAGGACATCCTGATGGGATTGTTGTTTGTTTAGACATTTTTTTAAAATAAATATTTGATTTATAGATTTATTTTATTCGAGATAACGGATAACGATAAGAAATAGGGGAAATCTTAACGTGATGCAGGTCAGAAAATTGGAGTATAAGTACATCACGAGCTGCATGTAAAAAAAAAAATTGGATAATCTACACATGACCATGAGTCATTTTTGTACACAAAAAAAAAAAAACTGATTTATAATTTCCAGATATCGATCGATATTGTTCCGTTTAAAAAATACGTATCACTTTTTATGAGCAGCACTGCAATACATAACAATATGAATTAAACATTCTTTTCAAACTACTGTATTTCTTTCTTGTCGAGATATTACATTAAAAAAAAAAATTTATTAGGCCATGCAAAATTAATTAGTTGGTTTTATAACCCGGCCGGATCAAAATTTGAAAACTTGCAAAAAAAATTATATGTTTTACAGCTGTTCTCAAATTCTGGGACAACGATAAAACTTTTATTCGACCGAATTCGATAAGCTTTTGAATTCGGCATTACTATTATTGTAATACCGAAAATCCAATATCGATACACCGAATTCAAAAATTTATCGAATTCGGCTAAAACAATTTTTATCAGTTGTTCCAGAATTTATGAGAATAGCTGTAATAACCGGGTGAGTTTTTAAAAAAATTTTATAAAATTTTTATATATGGAATTTAAAAAAAATAAACTGGCCGGCCGGGTCTGTTTTAATATGAAAACCAAGATATTAAATTTATGTGGCTTTAGAACGTTTATTTGAATTTATTGCTTAACATTCTCATTTATCGATTTCAAATAAGGGCCATTTCCGCCATCAACCTATTAAAATTGCAAAACTCAATATTTCACAATGAAAAAAAAATTTCTTATTATAAATTTTTCGATAATAGGTAATTACCTTTACTGAAAGAACTTCCGGTACACTATAACCATGATTTTTGTTTACATAATCTGTTATTTCTCCAAGATGCTAAAACAAAAATGAATGTTAGACAATAAACAAATAGAACGATCTTTTAGAAAATTTATAAAAAATTATAAACCTTGTCCAAGGTTTTAATCATTAACAAGAGCTCAGAAGATTCTTCAATTTTGCCATCCCACCCTAATTATAAACGTGTGAGAATGAGTAGAGTGAATGATACAATATAAAATAAAATAAAATAAAATAAAATAAAATAAAATATGACAACTAAATAAGATAAATAACTAAATATGATTTAGTGATGATACTCACAATAAAGTGAAGAGATCTTTGGAATTATATTTACGCAGGCGACCAGTTTTTCTTCTAAAAGACCTTTAAAAAGTTGAAATTAAACATCTTGCCTTCTTTTTTTTTCAATGAATGATTTTATCAAGTAAATACCTCGAGCCAACTTCTTGGCAACTTCGTCATCAGGGCAAGTAACATAAACTATTCGTTCCGTCGTACCTCTAACAAAATTGCATTGTTCACGTTGTGACATTAATATCGGTATCGAGCTAGGTGTTGTACAAGCAAAAACTGACGATGAAAGCAATGGAGGATTGATCTGTGAAGCTAATAATAATGTTAAGGTTATGAAAGATAAATGAGTAGGTTTTAAAGTTGTCAAACGATGATGTAAGTTATGAAAGATGTAGCGTCTGGCTAAAAAAATTGACATCACGCAATAAAATTTTAGATCTAAAAGTTAGATCACATTTTTGTACAGAATAATCTTAAAATCGTTACACAATTACAATTCTGCAATTTGTACAATGTTAGTAATTTCTATCAACCTCCCAAAAAAAGAATAGTAATTTTTTTCAATGCTGTACAATCCAAAAAAAGAAAAAATAATACTTATTTGAAGAGGTTAATTGGGGAGTGAGTGACTCGAACACCCAGCCTTCCGCTCTGGAGGCGGACGCGCTGCCATTGCGCCAACCCCCCATTTATTTGCTTTTGATTGCCATCTTTCATTATTTTTTCATTATGCATTGACAATAATAGTTTGCAAAGTAATTACTGTACGTACGTAATAATAATATGATAACTGATTAATCTAATAAACGAAATATTGGGATTATTAGTAATTATTAGTGCTGCAGCATTATGGGAAGATATTCATATTATTGGTTAATTTTTGTAGATTTACCCGTGATTACCCGTGACAATTAACCAATCAAATTACATAAATTTTAAAGCAACTTATCGGTTTAATACTATTAGAAACGAAAAAATTTCGTATAGTAAATGCATACAAAAAAATTCATGCAAAGTGGGTAAATGTGATATTTATTACTAATATGTAAGCCCGAATTCATTAAAGAATCTACGAGTTATAAACCAAACTTAGTTTACGATTGACAAAATATACTACAAGAACCAAATAAATTTAAAAACTACAATAATCTGACTGTTGTAACCCAAGAATATTAATCTAACAACGAACCAAATTTGAGTAACAGGCTACTAAACACCTAGATCCACATAAAAAAGCCTATATGCTGCCAAACATAACGAACTAATTCCTATAAAATCTAATACGCAAGACATAAAACTATTAAGATTTATTAATAAATTAAACGGCAATAAAAGGCTCTTTATTACATAAACTTACGTCTCGTTGTTCTTTTTCAGGTATTTAAACTTATATACAACTAATATAATAATGAGTAGTAAAATATTCAGTTCTCCAGGTTCTTTATTTTTTGATTATTTTTACATAAGAACGTTGACACTCTTCCGCATATATTATATATTGGTAGTATTTACGATGCCATTCTCAAAAAGTACTTTAAAATTGTATAAATAAGTTACCACCCGGGAAATTGATTTACACCAGCTAATCATACGAATGTCCGATAAGACTCAATTTTTGGTAGATAATTTAGTAGTAAACTCCGTGATCACATTAGTGTTCCCACTCGTACTAACAAATATTAACTCAGTATTAGTTTGTAACGAAGAACAAACTAATTATAGTTATTAAAAATCGGAGCATAATTTAAGACCTGAAAATTTATTTTCTCAAATTAAAGGTCTTAAATTTTATTTTTTATATATAATAATACTTAAAAATGATTCAGACAAAAATACTGTCGTTAAATAACCAATAAATCCAAATTCCTGGTCAAAAAGTCAATTACAACAACCCTGAAAGTTTTACATCCCAAAGGTGCAAAGACTGAATAAAAAGAGAATTACAAAAAATAAAATAAAATAAAACACAATCAGATTTGAACCTATCCGTGCGGGCCTTCTATTTAAATAAGTTTGTTGCAGCCATCCATTCGAGCGACGCCAAAGGAAAATCAGACCCAGATCATATAAAATTTATAAGATCGAATTCTGGTTCCCTGGCGTCACTCATTCTTATAAGTATTTTTTAATGCGCATTATTATTGTAAAATGTTAATATGTTTCAAAATATCGTCTGACGAAATTAATTTCGTCTGGCAGAATTCCGAAATTATTTTTTGCCAGAGAAATAAATTTTTATTTATTTGACAAAATTATTCTCATTTGTCAAAATTACGTTTTTTTTTTTTTTTTTTTCTTTTTTTTTGCTGAAAATTATTTTCGTCCACTGAAATTGTTAGACAGTTGATATTATATGAATGAATTAGGGATAGGAAATATAATAATTTAGGTAACCAATATGATTTTTTAGCCGTTACCTATTCTTAAATATCATTAACTATTTCCTATTACATACGACTTATTATGATTCACATGAGTCACATACGTATACAACTTGGAAGCATAATAATCAAGGTTTCTTTTGCAATGCTGGCAAAACTATTCGTCTCAAATCCAATCGCAAATTCCAGGTCCCAATTTTATTATGTTTGGGACGATTTAAGATTGAGACAATTTTATTATGTTTGGGATTTGGGTGGGACTTTTTAAGCTAGCTGCATTCCAACCCTATAGGAAAATTATATTAACTTTGACAATTTTTATTATTAAATTTGCTATTTTTTACCCCTTTAACCACAATGTACCTTTTAAATATTTTCGTCAATTTCAGCATACTAGAATCTTTTCGCCATATTAAAATAATTTCTACATACTAAATTATTTACGTTTTAGATAGTCAAAAATAATTTCTGCAGTCTAGATTTACGCCAAGAGCAAAATAATTTAGACACCCATGTAGAGGGCATTTGATGCGGTTAGACTGTTTACACTATAATTAATAATAAAAATATTTGATTTTTCTATTCTAGTAATAAAAATTCTATTGTCTCATTCATTTATCAATAATAAAAATTCTATTGTCTCATTCATTTATCAATAATAAAAATAACAATTTATCCCTAAAAATAGATCACTTCGAAAATAGTACGTACGTACGTATAAAGAATAATTTTTCTAAAATTACCTAGGTACTACCCCCGGATAGTACTAGTTGTATTACCACTTATATCCAAATGTCGAATCATTTGACACCCTCTATTTCTAATATACGTATGTCATCAAATTAACATTTATAAGGGTTGCACATAGGTTTTATTGTGAGTACAATTAAAGTTTAAGATTCTCCATACCGATACAGCCAATTTATTTTTCACATTCATAATTGTTTATTAACGTTAAAGGAATTAATAAAAATGAAATAAATTAATTGTTTCACTTGCTGGAGAATAAATGGACATATAACAAAGACAACTTTATTAAGTTATATTAAATAATACATTGAAAATATTTTCATTTTATTTATTATACAATATACATCGACATGTTCATATGTACGATGTACAATCTACGTAACTATCTTAAGGTTACTTTGGGAATTTTATTTTCGAATTCGAGGATTTTTGAAAGCCAATAAAAAGCGATTACTATCAAGTTGAATCATATAACGATAATCGAATACTAGAATTACTAGAATTGCATTTACTGCATTAGAAATCAAAAAAAACCCCCTATTTATAGCTACATTTACTAATAAAGTTAATTTTTTTATGAATATCTTCATCGGTTTTAATAACGAATTACTCTCTCGATAATTCACAGTTACTAGCTTAAGATACAACAACACAATATATATTATATATATAAAGAAAAAATTAACATCAATCCAAGAAAAAAAATTTATAATTCTAAATATATATATATATGAATATATACTGTAGCTTTGGTTTCTACGTAGGTAACAATTTTAGTAACTTAGTATGAAAGAATTATAAACGCCCAAATGTCAGAACAATGGCAACCTTCAAATGAATAAAGTTGATGAACATGCAGAATGCGGAAATATGTCTACACAACAAAGAATCTATTAGAAGGACAAAATAATATATAGAGAAAAAGAACATGAGGTCTTACTAACTCGAACGCATGGTCTATCACTAACGCTAAGTAGACCTCCAAAATAGGAATTATTAATATTAAAGTACCCTTTAGTAACACGATACAATTCTAGTTAGCAAAGTGTCACAATTTACAATGATGTCATACGTTGCCCAGATTTAGCGATTGTAATCAAGGGGTAGAAGGGGTGGGTGACGCGTTTAGATGAATTCGTTAGGGAGGTCGAATTAAATGTTAATTCTAAAAAAAAAAATTCTAAGATTTTTAAGATTGAGAGAAATAAATTTGGAAAATTTTTATTACATAAAATAAATGTGATCACGAACACAATTTATCTAAATTTGAGTAAATTATAAATCATGAATAAATGCGTTAAGTTATTCATTCCTACCCTTTTATTCTTTTATCCCGTTAAATCTTGATGTTAAAGTTCTTGTAACGTCAGTTAATGAGCATTTCTCCATAAGTGTTTTTCTCTTTGCGAAATTCTCTCTTGTATTGTACGACTTTTGATTTTTAAAGTTATCAGTGAACGACTCCTTATACATTTCTACATTATCAAGAGAATTTCAAAAGAGAATATCAAAAAGAGAAAAACCTAAAGCAAACATGTGGTGCGATAATTGTTTATTGATATTTCCTTTGAGATCTGGTGCCATGTTTTTGGCCATATTCATGGCGGTAAAGTATTCTTTCTCGGTGATAATTACCGTAAATGGTCGGATAAAAGATCCCCCCACAATATATTAATATCTGATATCAAATTAATATCTGATATCAGATTATACCTGGATGCGAATTACGAAATCTACAATAATAAAATTTTAGTATTTTTCAAATATCTAGACTACCTGTTAGAAATGAAAAATACGCATGCTCTTTAAAATTCTCCTTTTAACGATTATAGTTTTAACATTGGTGGAAGGTCTTTTATCCGGTTATTTACAGTAACCAATTAAATTCTTAATGTGATTAAATTGATTAAATTCTCGATTTTCATTTGTATGTAGATATATCAATTCATAGGTGCTATCCTTTTGTTCATGTATGGCGGTATGTCATAATATTAACAAAATTTCTAAATTTCTCTTGTGAGTTAAACATCAATGTCTCATGTTTATTAAAATTTTCTTATGTAGATTTCTTCTTTTTCCATAAATATGAAGCATCAATATATGGTGGATATGCTCTTTTGCAAGGAATAATTGGGCTTATAGCTGTATTGGGATTCTCGAGAGTAATTATCTTGATCTATAATTATAACTTGAGAAATTTTAATCCATTCTGTTTCTGTTTTTTTATTTATTACTCTTGGAATTTTTATAGCGATCATCCCTTATTGCCAGAGTACTTGTTCGTACTTATGTTATAATAATAATATTAGGTGCCATACGAGGAAGTTTGATGGCTTGGTCAATATTTTATGGCCAAGAGCATATAATTTGGGAATGCAATAATGGAGGCAAAAGATGGATTGATCCCTCGACAATTGATCCCAATGTACCACAACCCGTTGAGACGAGATTAATGCCATCAGCGTTTTGTCGAGTCGGTTTACAAAGCGCCGCGGGATATTTTTCATTTTTTCTCGCTCTTGATTTCATTTTAATGGTATGTATTATTTCTTTTCATGTTTTTCTTTTTTTATTTATTATAGAAATTTTCTTTAATCAATCGTCTTTATTTATTTACTTTTTTTTTTTTTTTTTAATAGTGTTATTTCTATTTCATGATATGGAGATATAACGTAAAATTATACAATGAATGGTGTGATACTGCTTATTATCCTTAAATTCATAACAAACATTGTTTCTCCCCATTTGAAATCTCGTCTTATTTAATATTGCTAAGAATCATTTTTAACGATTTAATAGAATATTCCCTTTTTACGAGTATTTACAGAGTTTTATTCTGATGGGTATATTTTGTCTAATAATTAATTAATCCCCTATTCAATGATTTAAGGACATTTAAAGCTGCTCATGTATTTTTTTCTTTGTACATTTATTAATATTTTGTACTAGTAAGTTTTGTAGTTTTGATGAAAACTGTATTAATATAAATATATTATTGTATAGGATTATTTATCGAGAATTGGGGCTTTTTAGCGTTAGGAAAAAACATGCTTAAATTTCAATATATTCATCATGTCAATACTCACCTTCGAGAACTTCAAAAATAAGTTTAATAATTAGGGAAATTCTATTTTGACCTGGGTCAAAATGACCCTCAGCAAAAGTTTAGGGTTAGTGCGGGCTAGAATTATGTTGACCAATCAAAATTTAAGACCAGGCATCAAAACAAGCATGTTTTGTT